AGAATATTGAAACACTTTCAGGTATTATTTTTTTTGCTTGACAGTATAGAATCTCTGCATCATGAATGCATTTACTGTACATTCTTTTTGAAATGCTGTAATAAAAATCAGATATATATATTTGCTATTAATGACTGACTTTGATTTGTGTCTCACTGACTATCATGCTGAGAGAAATAACTGCTTTGACCCATGGGTTGTTAGGACTCTCCCAAAGAAGATCAAGAGCTCCGTGGGAACTCTGTTGCTGCGTACAGGTCTGCCCTCCACAGCCAGCTTGGTCAGAACACAGAGCAGTGACGGTTGGTATTCTCAAGCTGATCGTAAGGAAGCCCTAAGACCCATGTCTCACCTAAAGGGATTATAGTGGATTCCTGGCATCTACAACTTCCAGTTTTGTGTTGGGTCATTTTAGAGGTGTTGATACCCATTGAGGAGTTTGAAGTGGATGCACAGGAAAAGCTGAACATGAAGCAAGTGTGGAAACGTTCAGAAGTGAATGTGGTATGATCTGCAGAGTCATGTTAGGTGGATTTGGATAATTCCGTCTACAAACATTTGCATAATTTAAGTCCACTTAGAGGGATCTGCAGTTGCTGTCTCCACATCAGTGAGCTCTAGCTCAGGATTCTTCATTTTTACTGGAATTTAGATATTTCTGTTTCACTGGTTTCTTTCACTTAGCCATTTCTCAATCTGAGCTATACATTTCTTTTTGTTTTTTAACAATTGATGACTTTCAGATTTGCATTTGACTTCCTACTTGCTGTTAGCTGTATTTGCATTGTTAAACTGGGAAGATGTGAAAGTGATGTACAGGAATGGCTTTTGGGTGTTACACTGCTAGTAAGTGTGTAACACGTGATGGTCAGTGTAGCATTGGCAGGGCATGTGCCGAATTGTTATGTCATCTTACTTAATTTCTCCAAGGTCTTCTCAGTGTTCCCACTTGGGGCACAACAGGTTGTTCTCTGGGAGCCTTGAATGAAGTATGTACATGGACGAGGATGCTGGAGTCACAGTAAATACATAAGTGACATTGGTTAATGGCAATGGTTAAAGACTGGCTGAATGGCTGTGAGTTCATCTGATTTCATCAGGGACTGAGCTTGGTCTGCAGTGTGTGAAACAGCTGTGTGAGTATGTTTATGTACATCCACCCAGAAGCTTCGTATCTTAAAATATATACACCCACGATACATTCAGTTGATCAGTCAGCAGAGCTCTTGAAAATACATCCTGATAGGCCAGCTCTCTGCTGTGGCCAGGGAGTGCAGTGGAGGATGGCCCAAGTACTTGGGCCCTGCACTCCATGGGAGACCAGGAGAAGCACCTGGCTCCTGCCATCGGATCAGCGTGGAGCGCCGGCCACAGCGCACTGGCCGCGGCGGCCATTGGAGGGTGAACCAACGGCAAAGGAAGACCTTTCTCTCTGTCTCTCTCTCTCACTGTCTACTCTGCCTGTCAAAAAAAAAAAAAAAGTCCTGATAGATATAATTCCACCTGAAGCAGTTGGTAATCCAAGGCATAGGAGGCTGCAGTTACATGCCAAGGAACGCAGTGCACACTCACGTTCACAAGCAGCATTAGGAAAGAGTGAAGCCGTGGTTTCATGCAATAGTGTGTGACCATGGCCGTTGAATCTTTGCTGCCTTGTGGAAGTGGATCATTCTGCCGTAGCCCCTCAGGGGTAGGCAGGTGGGTGCTTTTCCTACATAGAGTCCAGAAGTGGTCCTGCCACCTGGGTGTGGCCACTGGCATTGCTGTCCTCCGTGACTGCCTTCATGGCTGGCACTGGGTGAAAATGGGACAGGCCAGGTCTGCTTCGCTCTCTGTCTGGACGCTCAGTTTTCCTAGGACTCAGCCCTTTCTGACCTTATTTCGACATGCCATGTGGACTTCCCTTTAGTGGAGCTGTTGTCCTTTCTCCTCAAACATGTGTTTTCAGGGCTCCACTGTCTCATACTTCCTCTTGCCTGTGAGGCTACCGTGGCCCATAATGGGTTAGTGTGATAGCCACTGGGCAGCTCATTCTTCCCAGGCACCCTTGCTCCTAGCTTGTCTCTTCTGCTGTTGACCCTGCCTGACGTAGCAGACCGTACGGATTGCCAGGGGAGGGGCTGGCGAGAGATTTGGAGCTGGAGGAGGGTGGTTTGCCATGCTTCATCCTGCTCCCACATACTGCAGGCTGCTGCTTTGCCCTCCTTGGCAGCCCAGCTCCTGTCACCTGTCTCCTCTTCTTGTTCTGTCAACCCAGGCGTAGGGAGACTTCCTGCCCGTACAGTCTGTGTCTGTGACCAGCCTTGTTTGTGCCTTCTTCCAGCTGCCCGTTCCTGAGCTGTGCCCTTCCAGGAGGCCACCTTTCATCTCCTGTGTTTCTGTGTCACTTCCGGTTCCCTCCCTGTGGCCTTTCCTTGGGTTTCTGTTGTCACTGGCTGTGGATGAGCCTGCATGCCCAGTTGGGTGAGAGGGTGTGAGCCACGGCTCACTCAGTGGTAGATGCCCGTGCCCAGCAGAGTGTCTGCCGTGAGGAGCAGTCAGTGCACACACGTGAAATGTGCGGTGCAGATTGCACCCTTACCCAAGGCGTCCTCTTAGGAAAGGCCCGGAGCCACTCTGGTGGGCTTTTCATGACGCTGGCGGTACTTCTGGGAATCACGATGCTTCTTTTGTTCTGTTTTCACTTTTTCTCCCTCAGAGAGCTAAGGGAAGGCGTATCCTACTGGCTTTACTGGCTATTCCATGGAAACCTCAGGGTTCTGCAGAATCCGAGCACTGGGTCAACAGTGAAATGGGATGGAGGCCACTCAGGTGCCTTTGCCCTGTGCTGTCACCCTGCTGTGCCCACTGTAAATGAGAGCCAGGCGGCTGTGTCTCCTTCACTTCCCTGCTTCTCTCTTTCTGTCAAGCTCCATTAGGTGCCTTCGTGTCCCATAAGTTGCCTGTTTGAGTTCTTTGCATTAGAGTTGAGAATAGATGGCCCATCTGCTCGCCTGAGTATTAAATTATCCCAGGACGTCGTTGGAGGAGACTTGCCCTGTGCATCGCACAGGGTTCCCTTTGCCCTCTGTGAAGAGGTCTTTGCTTTTCCTGTACACACCCTTGTGTCTGAATAGGCTGCACTCATCAAGGCAGGGACCTGCCAAGGGCGGGTGCTGACAGAAGTAAACGGCTTTATTCATTTTTATTATAAAACGCAGCACTTGTTAGGTGTAAGTAAGCTTGCAGTATGCCAGATCTTGGTATTTGGAGGTTACTGGGTTTCGGAAGTTACGAAAAAAGAGCATGCTCTAAGAGTGACACGTTGAAGAGATGTTTTGCAGTGAGGTTCATTAAGTAAATGCACGCACCATTTTAATTCCTTGCATGATACAGCGCATGCAGCTGACAAGTCTGCACCTTCATTTGAATATTCATGAATGAGCGAGTTTCTGCCAGCCTTTAAGTAATATAATTTATGAAAGTGAATTGTGTTCTTTTCTAGCAAGCTGAAAATGTTCGATATATATTATGCGATCACATTTGTTAATAAAAACTGAGTAACATTGGCTGAAGGGTAGCATTTAAGAAATGTGCATGGTTTCCATTATTTAAATGTACACTTTTAATTAGTGAATTTTTCAGTGAGGATGAAAATTGTGTCACACTTAAGGTGTGAATATTTATGTGGCCATATATTGGTATTAATAAAAGTATGTCTAATCTCTGCTACTGTTGGCAAATTGATAGCTTTAAAGGTAATGGGGAGATTTAAATTCCAGAGAGGGAAACAGTTTCTTCTAACTCATACAGTGGAGCTGAAAGTCAATGTGGCATTGACTTGGTAGAATCTACAGGAGGTTATGGGTGAAAGTCGGGGACAGAGACTTGGCCTGGCAGTTCATCAGACTAGGCAAGTGGCCATTCCCACATCAGTGTGCCCGGGTTCAAGTCCTTGCTCTCCTTCTGATTCCAGCTTGCTGCTAATTTGGACCCTGGGAGGCAGTGGTGATGGCTCAAGTAGTTGGCTCTCGGCTGCTGTGTGGGAGACCTGGTCTCCAAGCTCTGCCTTTGCTCTGGCCCACTGTGAGAGTGTAGGGATGGGGATGTGTGCGTTTGTTCTCTCGCTCTCAGTGAATGAGAAAAACCAAGTGCCAGAGACCGTGTGTGCTTTGTACTCACTTCCACTGGTTTTTGAATAACTGCCTTTGTAGATCTGGATGTTTCTGAAACATCACAAATTCTGGATGCTCTTTAAAACAAACAGCACAAAAGCACAAATGAGGTCAAGCCCTAGATGGGGCCTGTGCCAGAGAAGATGCTGCAGCTGAGGTCCCCTGCGGGTGGCCAGCCTCTCTGTAGGTGAGAGTCCACGTGGGCTGGCGGCAGGAGCCCTTCATCGTTCACTGCACAGTATGCGGACAGCTGTAGCTGGCTGAGCGGTTGTGTCCACTGGAAATACTTTGCAAGGTCTGGGGGGAGAATGTGACGTGCTATTCATTTTCACAAATTAAAAACATTTTTCCATTGACTAAAGTTGTGTTTTAAAAGTATTTACTTGGGATGGAAGCAAGAGTGCCTCACAGTGAGACCTCGCAGCGTCCTAAATGGGGCCTCCTGAGCCACATGCAAGTAGAGTAATGCTAGTCTGGAAAGCTGAGGCTGACATGGTGCAGCCTCTTTCCGGCTGTCTGTCCCAGCATTCTGTAGTGGCTTTTTGCAGAGGAACTCGTCTTGTGCTGCGTCTGCTGTTGTCCCACGATCTGCCCGATTCTGCCTTGGGGGACCGGGTTGGATTCTGCCCTGCGCTGCCCCTGTCCTCTCTGAGCCTTGGGTGACGCTTTCGTAACACAGACAGGTGCTTCTGTGTGCCTGCCTGTACGTTGCCCTGATGGGCCCAGTCATTCAAACACCCTGAAAGGGGCTCAAGAACATGTGAAATGCTGTTATAAAAAGACCAAACACCTCTAACTGGTTTTTCCTCATAAAATAATATGTTTGTATTTTTTTTTATTCCAAAGCCATTTGCCAATTTCAAGGAGGAACCTACTTTGAAGGAGAGAGAAGTACGGGCTACTCCTCCTCTGGAGTGTGCGTCCTGTATGAGTGCAAGGTAAGCGATTGGCCCTGGGCCTTCAGAATTGTGCCCGTGATGCCTGCGCGGTGCTCCTGTCTTCAGAAGCTCGTCGTTTCCCAATTCCAGGACAGAGAAAACGTGAACTGTTAACTGTAGTTCAAATATAAAGAGATTCCTGTTATTTTTTTCACGCATGTAAATTAATGATTGTAAATCTCTTTTGCTGACAAATACAATACTCTCCCATCAAATTCATGTTCTGTGAGGCTACCTTGTGCCTTGCAAATTCAGGTCAGCTTGTGTTTCGCTGTTGTGAAGACCTTGGTGTGTGTGTGTGTGTGTGTGTGTGTGTGATGCCCGCTCTACTGAGCGTAGGTGACCATCTCAAAGAAATGAGTCTGGAAGGCCTTGGAATTTCTAAACTGTGTGTGTGTGCGTGTGTGTGTGTGTGTTTCACCAGAATATGTTATGTAATACTTAGAATTTACTGGGATAGTTGCTTATGGGATTTTACATTTGCTAGGAAATCATTTAATTGTCTATTCACTGATTTAGAAATCCGCATATAGGCGGCACTGCAGTGCTCAGTAAGTGTGAGATAAATAAATGCTACCTTTCATTTGCTCCAATGATAGGAACCCTTTTCTACTCTTTCTCGTTGTGCTGGGTAGTAGAAATAGATTGCAAGCCACATACACAGTTTTTATTGGGCTAAATTTGCTGTGTTTTGCCCATACATCCAAAATATCATCACTTCAGCATGGAGTCAGTGTACAGATTATGGATGAAGCTTCCCACTCTTTCGTCATTCAGCCTTCAGAATCTTGCGTGCACTTCCCGTGGCCTTGTTCCATAGCCTCAGAGGGCCAGCAGCTGTGGGATGTGCTTCGAGCTCTCGATTCAGTCGTTGGGCTCCTGTGTTTATACCTTGACCTGATTGGCAGATCTCTCTCACCCTGGTTTTCTGGGCTGTCAGTTCCAACCCCTGTGTCCCCATTCGTCTTTTCTTCATCAGTGTTGGGCCCTTGAAACTGTGTCCTAGGGAGTCTGTGACTGGAGCAGTGTTCTTGAAAATCAGATCCTAGAAAAGATGTCACTGTTGAGCCAAGAGAAGACTGGTAGTTGACACCACTGTATACATGCCTCCTGCCACGATCTTGGTAAGAGACTATGGTTGGAGAAGGTCCTCTGTGTAAATGAGCCAGGTAGAGCAGATGCTGATTGAAATAGGTTCATCTTTCTTGAAGGCAGTACTTAAAGGAGCACATCTGAAGATCTCAGCTATTGACCAGTAGTTAGAATGGGAGCCTGCGCATTGCCAGATTGTTCTGTTGCTTAGGTGAGCATAGTGTAACCTAGTTCACGACCCTTAAGAGATGAGGGCTAGTAGCAGAGAAGCTACCTGCTTGCTTCCTGGGCAGCACCACGACCATGGTTGGAAGCATCGTTTGCATTTTGGTTCCTCCTTGATAATGATGTAATCAGTTTTAGTTGCTAGAAGTATAATAATTTTATGCTGATTTATTAATTCACTGAGTACCAACTCTGTGCTAGAAAACATGCCAGGCCATGGGTTCTTCCCTCACGCGCTTTGCAATCCTTCTCCAGTATTCCATAACGGAATCACCTCTTTATAACGAAGCTCTGTAGGAAAACTTGGACATGAGTGTTTACAAAACCCAGTTTTTTTGCTGTTCCTTTTCAAAGTGAGAGCCTGATGTTGGCCACAGCTGGCCGCTGTGCTGCGAAAGCAGCAGGCTCTCAGGCTTGCCGGGTGTGGCAGGTGGCCCTGCTGCAGTGTTGGGCTCTGGGTCTCAGCTTGCTTGACCATTCTATAGGCCTTCCTGTGAGGACCCTGTGCCCTTTCAAGAGTGAGCCCTTGACCTGTGCAGGGCTTCTCAGGATGACCGTCTTGTGTGCTGTATCTAGAAACTTCATACTTAAGTCCTGCTCACAAAATCTGAGGTGCTTCCTTTCTGTTGTGTGACAGGATCAGACCATGAAGCTTGTCGAGAGTCCAGTCTGCCCAGCTTTGGACTGTCCTGAGTCTCAGCAGATCACCTTGTCTCATAGCTGCTGCAAAGTCTGTAAAGGTAAGACATGTGAACGAAGTAAGACTTTGGTGCCGAGTCGTTCCGTTACGCTAGGACAGGGGTGCACGGAGATGTCTGTGAATGAGTGAATTCCGAAGACCAGGGACTCCCCCGAAGTGTTTTGTAAGTCTGGCACACAGACGATCATCGTGGGATATCTGCTGCAGTAACAGCAGGGTGTGCCTCGTGTCTCTGCTGAGCCTGTGTGGCTCCTGACCCGTCCCAGTGTCCTGGTGCTGGCTCAGTCAGCACTGCTGCTGAGGACAGTTGCACAGCAGGTGCGGCTGGTTGTTGTTGGCAGTGCTGTTGCTTGCCAGCAAGTGTCTGTTGTTTTGTTTCTTCACTTCTCCTCTTTGTCATGATGTCCCAGCATCACTTCCATTGTGATGGCTCCTGACACCCTTCTCAGTTCTGCTGTCCAGCACTCGTGGGTGTTGGTTCTATGGAACTCGTTAAGCTCCCCCTTCACGGGATTGTGTGCATCTTCTTGTGTGACCCTGAAACTCTGTGAATTCTACCCTGCAGGTCAGGACAGGGTCTTTATCTGCATCTCTGTGTCACCTGGTGCATCCCTGTGATGTCCTTGGTGCATGAAAACTGCCTCGTTTGAGTAATGATATTTACACTGTTGTAAAACAAAGTATCAAGAGAAAAAAACCCTATACAACAAATACCATTTTGTTTGCTTTTAACTAAATCCGTCAAAAAGAACATGTGAGAGTTCTTTGGGAGGCTACTTGGGAATCACACAGTGGTGTGAAAACTCCTCTGCCCTTCCAGGGACTTCCAGGCTAGCTCTTAGGAACGGGGGAGCACCTCTGTGGAGAACCACGACCAGACAGGGTTTTCACCCTCACGATGCCTGTTGAGCAGGCCTTGCTCCCAGCAGTGAGGAATTTGGTCTGAATCAGCAGCGCTCATGTCATTGGATTGGGACCCCCAGTCATTTGAGTGTCCCGGGCAGCCAGATGTGGATGTCCATGCTTCCCTAACTCCAGTGTATCAGTGTATGACTTGGGGACTAGTGACTCATTGGGTCGGGTCCTGGCCCAAGCGTTGGCATTTCTTATAAGCCTCTAGGTGTGTTTATGCTGTGGTAGGCAGGGCTGTACTTAGGCCTTACCCGTGATACCTCACAAAGTGCCCCAAACTCCAAGGCTCACAACAACCACCTTTCCCTTACCTGTATCAGTGTTCTGTCTCAGGGTCTCAAACAGCAAGCTAGGTGATCGCTCTCCCCCATGCAGTGTCAGCTGAGCTGCTTGGTGCAGGTCAGCAGGAAACTGGGCGGAGCTGAAGGCCCCAGTTCCCTGGGGCCTGGTGCTGCACTGGCTGGAAGGCTGGCAGGGCGGGGCCTCCCTCCCTCTCCTCCTGTCAGAACTTCTCCCCAAGGGCGCTCCAGGAGAAATGCAATGAGAGCTCTCCGGGAGTGGCTCCGGGCTTTTACAGGTGGAGTTTGGGACTGGCACAGCAGCACTTCCACCATATGCCGTGCCATGTGTCAAATCATCACCATCCAGAGCAGGGGCAGTAGATCCCACCACTGATAGAAGGAAAACTAAGATATTAAGACCACCTTTAATCCACTGCCGATGTCCAGGGGCTGCATGAGACTGGGAAGCCCAGAGACATAGAGATTATTTTAGGCTGGAAAGGATGAGTTTGGCCAAGAAGCACAGATGGAGTGTTTTCAGGTGTCAACAGATGCCTTGACCACGCCCATTTCTTTTCATAAAGGCCCTAATATATTACAAAAAGCAAGGTGATAAGTGGAAAAGCAACCTTCAAAAATTGTGTGATATGTAAAATATTTACTGTTTTAAAATTAATGTTTTTACATTGCAAGATTAAAAATATAATGGCAGAGTATACCATGGCCTGTATCCCTTTCCACCTGAGTTTCTACAACTGACTTTAATCAGATCTTGGTATCATCATTAAAAAGCAAACAAAAAAGAACCCTGATTTTGCAGCCAGGATTGTGATCTGCTAGCCCAGATAATATGCAAACTGAAATTGGACAAGTTGACCATTCTTGAAATGTTTAGCTCTATTTATAATAAGTGTTGCATCAGTCTGTGGCTTCAAATTAACAGAATAAACAGTGGAGTTCTCCTGGCCTCCTCTGACTTTCACATTGCAAAGAAAAAACAAGTCAAGTTCTCTTGGCTTAAATGTTGACTCAGCTTCTACACATGTGTTGTGACAAATCCATTTGTAGTAAAATTGGCCTCCGATTTCCAGGCCTGTCTAGTTAGTGCTGGAGGTGTTAGTTCACACCTGAGAGAGTAAGTTTTTGAAGCAGGGTTGTTAAATACTCCTGTGGGCAGAGTGTGGCAGGAAGCACTGACCTTCCCACCAGAGGCTCGGCTCCTGGCTGAACCATGCTAGGTACTGGATGAGGCTCCTAGTTGCCAGGCACCAAATCAGATCAAACCAAGACTGCTTTTCAGGTGCCCTGAAGCTGACTGGCTTCTGCTGTAGCAGAAAAATGGAGCTGGAACGGTTCCTGCTGCTTTCTTAGAGGCATTACAAGAAATGCATTGCACTGGCATTTTCTCTCTGTGTTCATCTGTAAACAGGAAGTCTACTTTGGGAAATACGAGGCTAATTCATTTTCTTGCAAACAACCCTTAAGTAAGTTAGTGTTCTTTCATGTGCAAGTGATAGAATACCCAACTTATTTGGCTCACCCAAAAAATCGAATCTGTGAGCCTTGATGAGTAGAGAGTAAATCATGTTCAAGTGCAGCACTGATGAGCTCTCAAAGCCTGCCTCTGCCTAGAAGCTTCCGGCAGTCCCTTCTGTTTTCAGTGTGTCAGTGTTCCTGCATACCCCTGGCATTCCTGTGCATATGGTCACTATGGCAGTCAGGTAAGTGAGAGGATAGATTCAGGATCCTCATGAGTTGAACCAAAGTCTCAGAATTGAGTGTTAGTGGTCTTTGTTAACTTGACCTGGGTCACGACCCCTGGCCTGAGGAAATGGCCTTGCTCAGGCCTATGAAATGCATTGACTGGCGTGGCTGTATCTTGCGTGAGGGTGAGCTTGTGTCCCTGTGGGCACTTGAGTCGGCAGTAGGGATGAGTGGTTTACCCAAAGCATAACTAAGTCACTTTTAACCCAAACATGGCATAGACATCTGGAGTCAAAGACCCCTGAGGATTAACCACACAATTTTTTTTTTCCTGATAATTATGTGTTACTCTTCTGTACTGTTCGGACTACCTTTGTGTGTATTTGTCATCACTCATTTTCCAGTTATACAAATGCATATTTACATTTTAAAGAGTAATCTGCCCTTAGGCAAGCATGGATCTTCATGTAAATTTGTACAGCTTACCAATGACACAGAAAACTTAGTATCCTCATGGCTAAAATGCAAAGGAGGGAAAAAAAATAGGCTTGGTTGTATTGACTAATTCATCCATCTGTCACAAATAATAGAATTTTCTGCTGTAATATGGATTTTCACATAGTTGGTTTTACCTTATTAGTAATATTCTTAGTAGTTACTAACAAACGCTATACTGTTAGAGTTTTGCATACAGGATCTCATTTGAATATCATAGTTGTGAAGGTAGTTATTACCCTAATTTTACAGGTAAGTAAAACTGAAGGCTTAGAAAGGTTAACTCACATAGCTAGTAAATTTACACAACCAGGAATTTGCTGAGACCAGACAGATTGGGTGTAAATTCGGTTTTGCCAACTCCAAAAGTCAAGTCAGATCACCAGAAATTGAGCTATGAAGATAGTAGGATTTTGCGGTCAGCTCTTAATTTGATTTCTTGAAGCCACTCCCAGGAGATGAGAAGCAGCCTGTCTCCATTTGAGTCTAGATTCCCACCCATCAGTGGTCAGCCTCTTGACCCTGGCGTTTTCAGCTAAGCATTAAGATAACCGTTAGAGTCATTCAACTGTCATGTGTTTAAAGAACAAATTAAAGTGGCTGTCTAACGTTCTTTAATGTAAATTAGAATTTGGTTGGCTGGAATTTTTAGTTTTTAATCTTTGTGTTAAAAAAGTAAAAACCATGTGATAAAAAATAATGCATTTTCTCGTTTTTACCGCTAACAAGGGACGTGGGGTCAGGCCTGATCTGAGAATTGGGGACCCTGTGGCGAGCTGAGCCCTGCAGAGGGAGCTGTCACAGTTACTTAGGTCCAGCTCTGGGGCCGGGGGTGTCATGGCGTGGTGTATCATAGGGCAGAGATGACACTGGGAAGACCCTGAAAAGTGGGAAACAAGAAGACTGAACGTGAAAAGCTGAAAGGCAGTTTTTACAAACAAACCCAAGAAAGAGAAATAAAAATGCCTCAGAGATGGCCGCACTCCTCATCATAGTTCTCTGAAAGTCACTTGAAAGGGAAAATTTGACAGGGCCTTGGAACTGCATCTCTCCCTGTGTCTTTTAAGGAGTGAGCTATTTTTAAAAAGTAACCTGGTTTTGATTTGGAATAATATGAAGCGGTATCTTGAAGCTTCTTTCCTTTAGGTTAATAATGTGCTGACCTACTGGGACAGGCAGTGATGGTGGCTTTTGAGGTGAACTGGTTTCCCATGGTTATGAAATACGGTCACAGTTTAGCTACCTAAAGAAGGAACAAACAGAACCCTAGGAGGAAGTCAGAGTTTCAGAGTTTATTTATTTATTTGAAAGTCAGAGTTAACAGAAGGAAAGAGAGAGACACAGAAACAGGAGATAGAGAGAGGGAGAGATCTTCCATCCACCAGATGGCCACAATAGCAGATATTGAGCCAGGCCGCAGCCAGGAGCCTGCTCCAAGTCTCCCATGTGGGCATCAGGGGCAAGTACTTGAGCCATCTTCCACTGCTTTTCTCAGGCCATCAGCAGAGACTTGAACCAGCGCCCAGAGGGGTTGCTGACGTTGCAGGCAATGGCTTTACCTGCTGAGGCCCAACACCTGCCTCAACTTTTCTTCTTCAGGATTGTAATTCTAAATGGGCAGCCTTCACATGAGAATTTAGATGTGAGGAATCTGTATTTTTCTGGCCTGATACATCTGTATTTTATTTTTGTATGTATTACTAATTGATTTTTTTCTATCCCCTTTTAGTATCATCATTGCATTTTTTCAACATTACTTTTCTTAAAGCTTATTGAGTTCTAATAATATTTAACTTCATTTCATAGTTGCCTTTAGTGGGGGCTTTGTTGAACTCTGGGGTGATATTTAAAATAGTGCGGACTATTCCAGTCAGTTGGTGTAGACACCCATTTCGTTATACATAATGCGGACCAGTGTAGAACCTCTGTCTTAGGGTTTCTCCAGTGAAAGTCATACTTGGCTAGGGTAGATGAGCCCTCATTTCTTTGATATGTGAGCAGAAATGCTAATCAATCAGATAATAGAAAACTAGATAGATAAGTTAGGCACAGGGCGATTTAAAATTGGTTAAATGATGTGGCTCACTTGGCTAATCCTCCACCTGCGGTGCCGGCACTCCGGGTTCTAGTCCCAGCTGGGGTGCTGGATTCTGTCCCAGTTGCTCCTCTTCCAGTCCAGCTCTCTGCTGTGGCCGGGGAAGGCAGTGGAGGATGGCCCAAGCGCTTGGGCCCTGCACCCCATGGGAGACTGGGAGGAGGCACCTGGCTCCTGGCTTTGGATTGGCGCAGTGCGCCAGCCGTAGCAGCCATTTGGGGGGTGAACCAACGGAAGAGGAAGATCTTTCTCTGTCTCTCTCTCTCTCTCTCTAACTCTGCCTGTCAAAAAAATTTATGTAATTTTCATGAAATGTGATCCTTGTGTTGGATTTGTTCATTTCAGTGTCTGTGATAATCTTTGAACAAGGGATTCAGATAGGAGAAAGAGAGCCTAAGAAATTGTACAGGGTTGGTGTCAATGTTTATCAAACGTTCCTTTTTCTCTCCTCTCATAAAGACTGGGGGGAGTCTTCAAAATCTAATTCATCAAAATTTTTTCCTTCCTTTGCGTGGATAAACCTTGCCTTGTGGATTTCCAGATAAAATTAAAGTGATGTAATGTTGACTTTTTAGCAGCTGTAGCAATTTTTTTTTTTAAATGTGACACTGCCTGCTTTATTCCTTAAATACGTGAGGAGCACATTTTGCAGGGCCTGATCCCCCTTGCCTGTGGGAGTGGCTGCCTCTCCCATTGCCATCTCCTTCTGCATTGTGTGTCTTCCTTTATGGGGAACTCTCTCTCTGTTCAGATGTATGCAGAACCATAGTTATAATATTCAGGACAATGTAGCATATTCACAGCCAGAAAACAAAGAAGACATGAAATTAACTGAAGTGGAGTTAACCGAGGTAAACACACAGATGGACATTTTGGTCCCCACAGCATGTGACTTGTCTATAAATGTTGAAGACAGTGATTTTTTAAAAATCACTTAGTAGCATCAAAATGAAATGAAAATATTAAGTCAACAGAGTTTGTTTGCTTTGTCCCTGTCTAATATTTCTCGATACGTGTGTTTTCCTGGCAGGTTATGACTTCTGCTCTGAAGGGCACAGCTGCATGGAGAACTCCGTGTGCCGCAGTCTGAACGACAGGGCCGTTTGCAGCTGTCGAGACGGCTTCAGGGCTCTGCGAGAGGACAGTGCCTATTGTGAAGGTAGTCCTTGCCATGTGCAGTGCCGCCCTATGAGCTGCCTGGGATTACTGCCTGCAAAATGTCGTGCTTGCCCAGGGTGTCAAGTTGATGGGCCCATTATAAGCAGTGAATTTAATTTGAAGCATATTAATCAGCTAAAAATAATTATCTTTCAAATTACAATTTTTCAGCTATCTTCTATATGTCAGACTGTTAGGTTAATATGGCTGGTTTCTGAATTAGAACAATACTTCCACTGTGAAATTGCCTTTCTTTTTTTCATAATTAGATATTCAGATAGCTCACATATTGACATGATTACTGTGGCTTGCAGTTGGGACTGTAGTGAGATTTTTCAGACAATGTTGGGTAACAAAGGCAATCAATTAACAGGAAGATAAAGTGTCTACTGCTATTTTTGTTTGCTTCTCCAAGTGATCTCCGTGGTTGCAGTCGTTCGCCATGGTATTTAGTAAATAGCTCCAGTGGAGTGAATCATTACACAGGGACTGCTAACAGTCTTAACTAACGTCTAAGGCAGTTTATCCTCTCGTGGATACAGTCTGGATGTATGATTAGGCCCACGCCATTCATGCGTGTTCTAGCTTGACTCTTCCGTTGTTTCCCTGAGCAGCGAATAGATATTAAACTGATATTTTCTGCCTTACGTACTGATACTCAGATTCAAGTTGATCTCTGGATCCACTTATTCCTTTACAAGTTTCTCATTCGGTCCTGAAGGGACCCATTCTGTCTGCTAAAGGAAGAACTCATGGTTTTCTTCCTCATTCATAATGCAGCTTTATTTTAAATTCCACATTTAAAAATACTTTAGTAAGAAATGGGTTCTTACCTACTGTAGAAGTGAACTTTCTTAGAATAACATTTCCACCATGGTATTTGAGAATTGTAATGTGTAATAAGTCCCACTAATGTTAACAAGTATAATAAGAAACCACACAGTACACATTCTAGATGCCTCTTAATTTATGAGTATCTTTTGTTGGGCTTCTGCACTTGTTGTTAACAATGAGTATATTCACTAGTGTAATAAATGGTTAGTAAGTGCCTATAGTATACCAAGCACTTTTTGAGTGTTTAGGCAATAAATAGTGACCAAGACTGTACTCAGCTTTACATTCTAGAAGGGTGACAGAGCACATTACCATAGAAATAGAGAAGATCATTCCAGGCAGGGAAAGTGCTAGGGAGAAAGTGAAACAGGATGACGTGCTGGGGATGCACTGAGGATTCATGTACATGGATCGGTCAGCACATGGGGCTGTCCCAGGAAATGTGGTGGTTGACCAGAGAGCTGATGGTAAGGAAACAGGCATGGAAAGACATGGGACCAAGAGCTTCAGCAGGAAGGAGTAAGAGGAAAGGTCTGGAAGAAGAGCAGTGTGATGGGGTACATGATTCAGAGGCTGTTGCAGGACAACCGAAGGTCATTACAACTTGCGTGGATTCTGGACTTTTATGGGTTCTGGCCTTGTGCTTCAGGAGGGGAGTGACATACTTAGACTTATGTAGAAAAGGGTAACTCTGGCTGCCAAGTGATAGATGAGCTATGGGGTGGGTGTGGAGGAGAGAACAGAATGTGACAGACAGACTTGTTGCAAGGCCACTGAGTAGTCCAAGAAGTGATACCAGTGGCCTTGGATGGGAAGGTGGAGGTAGCGCAGAGGAGGGGCATGTCCATGGCCTGCCGTGAATGGAAGACCTACAGTATTCATGGACAGTTTATCATGGAGAACTGAAGAGGAGTCCAAGGGTTTATTTATGATTTATTTATCTATGTAATAGAGAGAGACAGTAAGGCAGAGAGAGCTCCCATTTACTGGTTCACTCCCAGATGCCCTCGACAGCCCCCAGGAGCCAAGAATGCAATTCTCATCTCCCACTGCGCTTGACAGAAGGAACCCAACAGCTTGAACCTTCACTTGCTTCCTCTCATGGTCTTCATTAGCAGGAAACTGGATTTAGGAGTCAGCGCTGGGTATACAGCCAAGGTCCAATAAGAGATGAGGGCATCTTAATTAAGCTAGATACCTGCTGCTGGTGTTACTTTTTTGTTTTTCAAGACAGGAAAGAATTTAAAGAAAGAGGCCAGAGATTTAGATTATAATAATTGTTTAAAATATCTATCAGTGAAACTAATTTTCTGAAACACAAATTGGCATTTTTCATCTTAAATTCATTGTACCGAAAAATGTCTTGCAATACTTATCATTTGAAATTTAATTTTAAATGTCCCAAGATGGTGGTATAGCAACAGGATGATTCGAGTCACACAGGGCAAAATAAATAGTTTAAAAAGGAGAGAAGATACACGCTGGAGATAGAGCCATGAGAAGTTGGCAATGGGAAGCCCAAGAGAACAACAGAGACTGGGAAGGTCCACACTGAAAGAAAAAATAAGAAAGGGAAATGGTGGAGCCGGGGGGTTTGGCCGCCAGCCCCTAACGGAACAGGTGAGATGAGAAATGCTGGGTCCACAGGGCTGCAAATAGCAGTGGGAGGGAGAGCTTGGTGAATTGATTCTAAAGTTCCATGTGAGAAAAAAGAGAAGATCTAGAGGAACAGAGAGGTCAGGCACCCCCCTTGCCCACTACCCTCTCCTCCCTCCTCCCTCCCTTCTTCCACCCTGACCTGCAGCTGGCTGGAAGAAGCCATTTTTGTTTGTTTACATTTTCAAATATAAGCACCGAAATGCCCCCTTTGCCTCCTGAGGACATGCCCATCAATAGTGGAGACCACCTCACCACACCTTCCATGCAGGAATAAGTACCACAACATTTCGGAAGAATCTGTTCCCTACCACACAAACTGTATAACAAGAAGTCCTGAATATCGAAAACACGAGCCAACTCCATCCACCACTGAGACGAGAGCCAGGCTCCTGTAGGTGTGGCTCCATGCAGTGGAGCTCATACCTGCCTCCACCACAATTCAGAAGCAAGCTGGGTTCCAGTAGGTGCTGCTCCATGCTTCCACTTCACTTTTTTATTTTTATTTTTTTGACAGGCAGGGTGGACAGTGAGAGAGAGAGAGACAGAGAGAAAGGTCTTCCTTTTGCCGTTGGTTCAGCCTCCAATTGCTGCTGTGGCCAGCGCACTGCGGCCGGCTCACCGCGCTGATCTGAAAGAAGGAGCCAGGTGCTTCTCCTGATCTCCCATGCGGGTGCAGGGCCAAAGCACTTGGGCCATCCTCCGCTGCACTCCCTGGCCACAGCAGAGAGCTGGCCTGGAAGAGGGGCAACCGGGACAGAATCCGGTGCCCCAACCGGGACTAGAACCTGGTGTGCCAGGGCCGCAAGGCGGAGGATTAGCCTTGTGAGCCGTGGCGCCGGCGCCACTTCACTTTCAATGCACAGACACATAGCAGCTCATAACAGTGGGAAACCTCACCACAGATTAGAGGTGCAGTTTGTTACGCAGGGTGATATAATCCTGAACATAGCAGAAACTAACACCAGGGTGTCCTATAACTGTGAGGAAGAGGGTGGGTTACACCAACAGAAGTGAACAACCTGTTCTAACCAGAAAACCAGAGGAAAGCTACCATACCCCCTGGAGGCCTGACACTGGATGCCTGCGCCACCCTGCAATACTGAACAGAGGACCCAGGCCACATCCAGCACACACCTCTTGGAACTCCCTGAAAGTATAGTCATCCGACTATGTCACAAAGACACAAATTAAAGAGAAAAACAACCACACACACAAAAATACACAAATTCCAAAAACAAAGGAAAAACCCTAAATAAAAATAAGGAAGCCTCTATGAGCCCCTGAAAGGAACACTGCAACACTTCAATAATACAAGGTGAAGATGAAAAGATTGAGGATATGCCAGAAATGGAATTCAGAAAATTAATCATCAGATTACTTGGGAGAAATCAGAAGCAAATTCACATCCTAAATGAAAAGTTCTCCCAAGAAATCGAGATATTAAAAAAAATGAGATGTACAATTTGGGACATGCTCAATCGGACTTGCCCCAAATGGTGGAGTTAGAAACGTGCCAGGGGATTCCAATACAATCCCATCAAGGTGGCATGTACCAATGCCATCTCACTAGTCCAAGTGATCAATTTCAGTTCACAGTTGATCACACTGATAGGTCTAAGAGTCAAAGGGATCACACAAACAAGACTAGTGTCTGCTAATACTAACTGATAGAATCAAAAAGGGAGAGAACGATCCAACATGGGAAGCGGGATACACAGCAGACTCATAGAATGGCAGATGTCCTAAATAGCACTCTGGCCTCAGAATCAGCCCTTAAGGCAGTCAGATCTGGCTGAAGAGCCCATGAGAGTATTTTAGGCATGGAAAGCCAAGACACTCTGGGGAAAAAAAAAGAAGACCTACATGAAAGATCTCTGCGAGTGAGATCCTAGCGGAAAGAACGGGCTATCAAAGGAGGAGGTACCTTTCTCTGAAGGGAGGAGAGAACTTCCACTTTGACTATGACCCTGTCAGAATAAGATCGAAGTCGGTGAACTCAAAAGGCTTCCATAGCCTTGGCAACTTGTGACTAGAGCCTAGGGAGATTACTGACACCATAAACAAGAGTGTCAAATTGTTAAGTCAACAACAGGAGTCACTGTGTACTTCCTTCTCATGTGGGATCTGTCCTTAATGTGTTGTTCAATGTGAAGTAATGCTATAACTAGTACTGAAACAGTATTTTACACTTTGTGTTTCTGTGTCAGTGCAAACTGATGAAATCTTTACTTAATATATACTAAATCAATCTTCTGTATATAAAGATTATTGAAAATGAATCTTGATGTGAATGGAATGGGAGAGGGAGCGGGAGATGGGAGGGGTGCAAGTAGGAGGGAAATTATGGGGGAAAGCCCATTGTAATCCATAAACTGCACTTTGGAAATTTATATTTACTAAATAAAAGTTAAAAAAATAAGAATGGAATACTAGAAATGAAGAATTCAATAGGTCAAATAAAAAAGTGGAAAGCCTTAAGAACAGAATAGTGAAACAGAAGAAAGAATA